CGCTACCAAATGTGAAAAATTTTCCAAATGTAAACGGGAAAATTATAAGTATATATATCAATGAATCTTATATCGGTTTGACTATTTAAGGTGATGATCAATTCCCCGCTAAATTAAACACAGCTCATGAGGAAGTTGCACATATGCAAATCGACTGTCGCTGACGAAAAGTCAGGCAATTCAGGAATTTTTTTCCAGCATTTATCGTTTCAAAGTTATCACGTAATTCATCAACAAGAGCTTAATACTCTAAAACATTGAAGAGAACATACATTGAAAAACACAGCAAAATTGAGGAGGAAAATGATAATTTTTACTCTATGTCATTAAAATGTACAACTCAAGCTCATAGCTATTAGAACCAGATGTTTCTAGGACTAAAATACATGCCAGCCTAAATGATTAATTTGAGAAAAACATTTTCTCCAGTAAACTACGGCCTCAAAATAATCAATGTGTGGTCTTATCCACAAGACTTCTCTTAAACAGGTGACTTATCTTTGTTTCATCGGAAGCTTTTTAACTGAATAGCAATAAAGATAAAATTGACATGTCACGAATAGATTCTGAACCGGAAGTCCTCGGGATCTAAGGAAAGTTTTGAGAATATTCATCAGTTCATTAGCTAACGTTTTTTTGCGTCGGAACTATTCTGCTGTTAAATAACGACGCCTTTTGAAGAGAAGCCTTCCGCATTCGTGTTTTATATCTCTTTTGAAGAAAGCGTAAACTTTAGGGTTTATTCCGGAGTTAATAACTTTTAGAGTTTTTTTGTAATAAAAATCGTTACAACATTTACGACCAGTGAAAAATAATGAACCTCAAGGCAAGAATATTCCGTAACACAATAGAAACACATGTGTTCTGAGTTTGAACTCTAACGAAACGATAATTAAAATTCAACTGCCTGGCTACAAGGCCATCCCTAGAGTTCAGATTGTAAATAAAAAGAAACATGGATGGAAGAAAAAAGATTAGCATTAGGCACAAGATTGTCTCGAAGAGTAAACACAAATAGCCAACGATGGTCATGGCATGTTCGAATGAATTGAGTCTAACTGACAATAAAGAAAAAGCAAGAGTTAAAAGAAAAGGAATTCCCCAAGATGTAAAAATCATCTGAATGACTCTGCGGCGCTTCATAAAAGTCAAGTATTTCAAAGGTTTCACCATGGCAATGTAACTATTTACAACCATCGTGAGGATGCAGAGGAACCAGCCGAAGATACAAAACCACAATTTCTTTGAATTTCTTGTTAAAGAAAATTTTTATGCAAAAACGTTTTAGGCAAAAACGTTTTAGGCAAAAAAGAATTGTTTATATAAGGGTTTTATAAAACCATCTCGCTCCTATCAACCTTTAAAAGTTACCAAGGACAATGGATAATGTTTAATTTAGTAGCATTCAAGGCTGCAAACATTTATCATCTTAGAACGTTCAGTCAGACGCCTCCTGAAAAAAAAGTTTGACGCCTGTCATTGGTTTTCAAAAAGAATGGACCAATCAGAAATTGAAAACAAGAGCGGAATATTTTTTACTTCATCATCTGATGTGTTTCATTTCTCAAAACAACAGCAGAGTGCAGATAAGATGTGAAATAGTGAAAATTAGCCTCTATTTGGCCGAGAACAACAAATATTTCAAATGACAATAATTTCAAGCGAGAATCGCCCCCTTTCAATATCAAATGAGTGACGTTAACAAATATAGAAGCCTCGAAGCTTTGTTCTGTTGTAAAGCAGCGGAAAGCAGCCGTAACACAAAAGAAACGTAGAGGGAAACATGAGACGTAATCGAGAACTTTCTCTACTCTTTGGCGCTTGGCATGTCTACAAACCTCTCATTTGCCTTTCCTGTTACTACTTGCCGTGTCAGTACAGGCTGTGTGCGCACTCTGATTGCGTTGCATCATGGTCATAAAACGAAAAGTGAGTCATTTGCATCCTGTCGCGGTCGAGTGAACATCTCTGGTAGCAGCAAGATAGCGTGAATAAACGTGGAATGTAATGAGGATTCACTGTCTGTTGCCGTTCCTTCGAAAGTTAAAGTGTTTGCAGGCCTGCGCGACTCCTGTTATTCCTCCGTGACAAATTCGTTGTTAGGAGGCAACTGAAGAAATTCAGAAAGAATCAAAACTGCAGCCTTGCCCAAGAATCTATTTATTTGGCAACAGTCACACTCACAGCCGATGGCTGTTTGAATAATATCAAATTCGCGAGTTATTTAACAGGGAATCGACCCTTAACATGCAAACGTATCACAAAGAGACAGCGACCTTCTAATACACGAACTATTTTTTTATGTCTTGCACTTAAAGGCGTAAATACGGGATTCACGAAAGGAGATGCCCGAATTCGTCACGCTTAACGTTTAATAAAAAAACGTACAGATTTTCAAATGTGCTTAAAAGAATAGGGAATACTCAGAATAAGGTTTTGAAAACCGTATCTCTGGAGTTATCTTCCGCGGGAGAGACATTATGTACTTGAAAATAGAGAA